GGCGCAAAACCACGATAATTCATGGATACACCAAACGAAGGTGGTCGGTAGAGCGTTGGTAGACCGGAAAACACTGGTGGCACATATGGAAACATTGACATTGATTTCATCCATTCATTAGCCATTTCTGGTGGATATGCTGGTGATCCATTACTACTAGCAGCGGCTAAAGCAGCAACAGCTTTAAACGGATTCATGTGGGTTACATTGGCAGCTGTCATGTCATTTGTGACGGGTTCTGTTTTAACAACATTATTTTCATTGCCTGCTGTGTCATCTTCATCGTCTGACGATACTGATTTCTTAGTTCTCTTCATTTTTAACAAACCAGATAGAGGGGTTTTACTTTTGATATCTTCGACTTTTTTTCGTTGGTCATTTAAGAGTTTTTCAGTTGCAATTTTATATTTTTCAATTAAACGCTCACGCGAATCATTTTCCTCATTAGGAAAATGATTTGCTTGAGTTGTTTTACGTTTTAGCGTGTTTTTAAGCTAAAAGAGTAAGATAGGTTTTTTTTAATTTTAATATATATCTAATTTCGATAACTTATTTGCATGAAATTACCTTAATGCGGTCAAATAATTGCTCTAATATTCGGATACTTTCTAATTTTCGTTGAGCTATCAGCAATTTACGCTCCTCAATGCGTATCTTTTGTGAAATTTCCACTTGTCCTCGTTCATGTATCTTTTTTAAATGCTTTTCTTTTCGTTTCTCCTCTCGTTCACGTTGTTTTTCTAAAGCAGCAAGCTTTAGCTCCTCTTCTTTTTGCCTGTAATTTTATTTATGCACAACTCTTGTTCTGTGTTTTTTTTTTCATATTAATTTTTTTTTATATATATTTTTTAAACAATCTTCTAAAGGAAAATATTAAACATTTTAAAATATAGTTCAATAGCTTTGTAATTTTTTTTCAAATTCGTATTTAAAACTAAAATGTTAAATAACATTTTAATTTCAAAAGCCATAAGCCATAAAACTTAACCGGTTATATTATTAGATATTATCGCAAATAAGTTTTTAAGGATAATATAAACATATAACATTTAATATTGAATTTAAATAGATAGAATTTATAACCGTTATAAAATTTTGAAATTGACGAAATTCATGGAATACTATCATGGAATTATAGTAAACAACCCGTGGCAATATTAATTTCATTTAATTACCTTTGTACATAGTTTTTCCTCTGAACTGTGAACTTGTTAAAAAATAATAATTAAAAACTAACCTCTGACGTTCTAAATTTTCTTGTTCCAATTTTTTTAGGCGTTCTTTTTCTTCTTCTTCAGCCTGTGCTTTACTAATAAGGCGTTTTCGAACACGTTCCCGACGTTGTATTTGCGCATCACTCAGATGTTTTGTTTTGTCAAAATTAACTACTATATTAACAGATTGATTCTTATCAATAAATTTTCGTACTAGTTTCATGCCACGAAATTCATCCATAGCACGCACGAAACCAACATATTCTTCAAATTGTATATAACTAAAAGACGATCAATTTATATATTTATTATTTTACATAATTATAAACTTACGCTTCAAACAACACATCCTGCTCGAAAGTAAAAGTTTTCATGCCACTTATGTCAGTGTTCATTTTGTTTCGATATGGATCACATATAGGTATGTCAAAACTGCGTACGGTTCCAAATTTTTCAAATATGCGTTTAAATATACTCTCACTCGGTTTGACATTTTCATCATTTTCATGATGTCGCGGGCAAAACCAGCGTATTGGCAAATGTGTTAAATGTATAGTATCCGGTCGTTCGCCTGGTTTCATTTCATCCATATGCTTTGCATCGCGAAAAAATGAGTCCCAATCGTATCTTGTTGGGAACTCATCTTTTGGTTCACTAGCACGCACTCGAAATGATTCATTAAAACCAGATATTTTAATTGAAATACCATCTAAACGTGACAACGCGCTACGTAGATATTTTCGATCATCTAACTCTGCTTCAAAGCGAATAAAATCAATAGTACTCTTTGTTACCTACATAAAAATTAAAAATTAATTATAAATATACTGTTTTATTATATCTGATATGAATTACTTACCTTGAGTACTAAAAATTTATCAGGTTTCAACGCATTGCTTAATTTTTCCATTATTTCTAAGTTGGAAATTGACTTGCCCGTTTTATTGCTGGGCAATGCCACTGATATGTGCATTTTGGCAAGTGGCTTGAGATAAAGACTATGCGGCAAAAACAATGGCACACAGTCGGAGACATTTTGTATAGTCTGAATATTTATCATTATTATAATTATTATTTTATATTTATATATATCATATATAATACATATATATATATGTATATAATTTTGCAGATGGATAGTATATCAAAACCATATGGTGAAGATAATAAAAATTAAATAAAAACTCGCAAGGATAGTTAGTAAACAAATCAAAAATTATAAAATCTAATAAATTTAAATATTTGCGAAAATGTTACACAAAATACAAACAAGCTAAGAAATGCATAAATGAATATCAAAAAGTTGAATTGTATGAAAACTATGACATTTTATGAGTAAAAAGGTATGTTTAAGTCTAAATGAAAAATCTAATAATTATCAACACAAAATACGACTTTAAATTCTTTTAATAGCTTTATATAGCGCTTATTAAACTACGCGTTTTTCACGAGATCTATAAACTTTATTGAGTATTCGTCAAAAATTCTATATGACATATCACTTAGAATTCAGAATTATTAATTTGTGGTTAGTACTTAGCACAAAGTTGTATATTCGAATGTACTAAGTATTCACAATAGTAAAAAATTTTTTTATATCACAATAATATTCAAATACATTCAAATTCAAAAAAAATAAAATTAAAAAACAAATTTGAAGTTGCTGAACTTTATTATTTTAATTTGATTGTTTACTTTATCGTAAATTTATAAATTAGATTTGTTTACATTTTGCAGTTCAATTATTTGAAAATATTTATAAATAATCACATTAGTAATTGAGGTGATATACACATATTTAGGTTTTAATGAATCAAATAATTTAATTAGTGTAATGAGTTGTGAAAGTAAATCTTAAACCAGAACTACTTTTAATACTTTAACAGGGAAACCATCAAGAAGATTATGGATGAATGTAATAGTGTCCACACTGTCTCATTTAGCCACTTGCTCATTTATATTAATAACTGAACGTTCACGTTATAACGAGCTCATTTATGTAGTTGATAGAACTTAAATAAACTTCACTTAATAATACATCACACAAATAATTAAATATATAATTGATATATTAAATCATTTATATACATTTTATATATCAATTAATAAAAACAAAAATTTTATTTAATACTTACTTCTTAACTGCCTTTGTTTTCAAGTCACCTATTGTTTGTTTATATTTTACATATAAAACATATGGCAAATATTTCAAGGTTTGGTAATGTTCCTTGTGGGAAATTTATTTTTAAGGGTTGCAATCGACATTTTTCTCCTTAAATGAACTAATTTATTAGTAATGTGATCATTTATATGAAAGATATATTCCACGTTTTGGAAACTTGAGGCCTTCAAAAATAGTCGAAATTTTTTTAAAATGAAATTTTAAAATGAATCGGCACTACATTGACATTTGTGCAATTAAATCGGGGACCTCGACTGAAGTACAAGTAGCTTCAGAGAGAATATATCACTTAAGAAGTTATATATTCAAAGCACTGCATTCTTCATGTGTGTCTAATACAATTTGTAGGTTGTTTTGAATTTTGAAAGCAAGCATTTGCTTGATTATAAAGATGTTGCGCTTGAAAGTGTGGATAGTTATAGCTCTACAAAATTTAAGCGCTGACTTTCTCCATGAACAAAAAATTAAGGCATACATGAGCTGCAAAAACAAAATTCGCAAAAATAAACCCACTTTCCTGAAAATACGTAACGACTTTCACTACAATGATGCCAAATCTTAAAACTGATCAATTGTGAATGATTTTTGGAACAAAATGGAAAACTCCAGTTAGCTGTTTATTTACAACTGTTGCGATCTGTCTTAATGAGTAAATTTAAATATTTTAAAAAAGTAATTTTTTAATAAAATTTGTAAAAATGACTTATAGGTTAGTAATTGTGAAGAAGGAATTTTTAATTTCTGTAGTCATTAAAAAATACAATACATGAAAAAATTCAAATCAATCATTAAAATAAAAGTAAAAAGTTAAAATGAAATTGCGCGAAAACTAAAACAGTATTAAATACTGCTCATTTTGCATTAACTAGTGATGTAAGGTTAGGTTAGGTTATACCGGCGATCCATAGTGGATCCATTTATTCCTAATGGCCCATTGTGTTACCGTATATATGGGAGAAACTGTGGGTTTAAAACCACCTAGTGATGTTAGAGCCTTGAAAATTATTTAAACGAATTTATTCACGATTTTGTATTCCCCAATCGCGTCACTAAATTTACTGCATACTATGATGTTGGTGATGTCTAATATTTTCTCATTTTGGTTAAACCTTTCCTGTTCATATGAATTTAACATAAAAACTTTAATTGAACTTTACTTGTATGCTGTAAATTGGAATTTTGTTAATTTGCTCTGAAAGTTCATTAAGAAATTTACCTGCCAATTAATATTGGCAGTGTGCGATTTCGCGTACATTGATGATAAATTGAGGGAATTAGTAAACTATGCCGATATGGCAGCGACATAAATTAAATAAATAAATTAGATAAAAATTAGGTAAATTAGGTGTTACCATTATGAAAATTTTATAAGATGTTTAATAAATAAATTTGAACACTTTTGACCAAAAATAATAAATAAGTGCAATAAATAAATATTTACATAAGTGCAGTGCAAAAAATCTCTTGGAAAATTCTATTGACTGTACCTCAATTTACTACAGTCGCACATGGCCATTATAACGAAATCTAAAACCAGCTGTAGAATAATTAAATTAATTAATTAAAGTTATTTTTAATTGTTTAATTTCAATACTATTTTTTTGTTAAGGCGTTATTTATTGCATAATTTTATATTATTCTTTCTTGTATATAGAAACTAATCCAGAAACGTAATACAGAAAATTCATTTTAACGATTCATTTTTGAACAATGTTTTAAATTTTAGTATCAGAGACGTGCTATTAAAACGTGAAGATAGAAACGTGAAATCCCATCCTTGTGCTCAAAAAAAGCAAGATGGGTGGTGGAAAATGCGGTCGGTCATTTGAAATCCAGATTAATACGGGTAGAGTACAGATAACACCAACATAGTATTAATAATTATATACTATTCTATGCCGCCTAAATTCATCAACCTACACAATGATGTTATTAATTAAAAGTGGGCACATCTTCAACATTAATATGAAAAAAATAACCATAAATTACAACAACACCAAGATTTAGATAAATATTGTTTTATATATTAGATAAATATTATTTTACAAAATAAAACACTTAACTATACCATATATCTACGTGAATTTATAACAAATTAATTGACGAATTTTTGTTCAAATTTAACAAGTCAAATTTTAGTATTACTCTTTGTAGTATTCTGTTTGTACTTTTATTTTGTAGCACTGTTCTTTTTTGACAGCTTGTGTTGCCGCCGTGTAAACCAGTTGAATCAATTTTCAAGAATATTCGTCGACTTATGCATAATTTTTTTAATTATGCATGTTCAAAATCAAATAAGAAGTATTGAAAACTACAATATATATACACATTTATCATAAAATAAATAGTGAATTAAGAAGCCGAAATATACAATACAACAAAAGTATATATATAAAAAAATATACATTATGTACATATTAAAACTATTTTGGAATTAAAATGTTTATACTTTTATATATTGAAAATATATTTAATTCAAAACATGGAATCAAGCATTAATGAAAATATTAATTATTACATAAAACTAATTAGATAATCATTTCCAAAAAATGCTAATAAATTTATCGTTGTCATACACTTATTTCTTTGTTTACAAATTCTATACGATTTTGTCAGTGTTGCATTTTAGATATTTAGACATATGTTTTTTTATAGTGTTGTGCAACACTATTTTAATGATCAACTTGTATCTCACAATTTAGTTCATTTTCCTTTAATACTTGAACAAGACCTAGAAAGAAAACAGAAAAGTGCGTTGTTTAGTAAAAAATTTTAATATAATACCTAATATTAAAAACAGAAACAAGATGTGTTCGAATTAAAGTACAATAAAAACTTTATTTGGGGGGAATTCAATATAAAGAAGCAAACGTCTTTTGTTCAAGAAATGGTAGTAGTTTTGCAAATATGTAAAAAAAGCAACGCAGTTCAGGAAAACAAAGAAATACGAAAATAAAATTAAAAAAAAATTAATATATATGAAAAATCTGCCATAAGTAAAATAACATATTTAAACCAATGGTGACTTTAGTTTTTTAATACGCGCAATTAAATAAGGAAATGAAAAAGAATAAATAAATATATGTAAAGTAAATATTATAAAAGAGAAAAATAAAAATATTGTGTTATGTGTTGACGTTTTCCCTTTTTTCCTTTGTCATTCGACTTGAAAACAACAACAATTAACTTTACCTGCAGATGGTGGTAATAACACAGTGCATTGCAGATAATTTGTTTTTATATAGTAAAATAAACTGAATATTAAACGAGATTTAAATAAGTTTTTTATATTGTTAGGTAAGTGCAATTTATAAAATAATTTCAATTGGCATTTATTTACAACTAACTTGTGTCTAAAATGTATACAATTTTTCACTAATAATTTTGTGTGCCCAGAAAAGATAAAGAAAACTTTATTCTACTTCTGCACTGTTTTTAGACTATACTAATAAATTGTTCTTCAACTATTTTAAAAAGTTAGCAATACTTTGCTTTTCTTTTGTTTTATTTTTATTTCTATATACATAATGATGAATTATTATTTAATATGAATTTTAATTTTTATTAAAACTGAAATATCAGTATTTGGGTATTAAATGGTAACGATACCTAAAATACGGAAGTGGAGAGTCCCTAGCGTAATTGGTTTGAGTTAGTAAATATTGAAGTTAAGAAGTAAAATATTTATAGTTATATGAAATTTAACTAAAATCTTGTTACAGTAAACTATCGGTGATGTAAACAATTTATTTATATAAACTCTGACAGATACAATCGAAAACGCGACGTGTAGGCAAATAAACAATTAAATAGCCACAACTGTTATTTCATATTTGGTGAAGATATTATCGTACAATATAATAAAATGTGAACCAATAATGTGTAAAATTCATAAATGTATTTTTTTAAATGTTGCTATTATACCCTATACGCAATCGTAAATATAAATCGTATTAGGTTTGTCAACAGATTTTGTCGTGGTCAACGCGGGATGTAGGAAATCATAGTAACCATGTACATTTTTTTTTTATCAAAATGAACAAACGAATCCACTTATAATATGTTTTGAACTGTCGAATAAAAATCTGCATAAGGGCGTTAAGTGTTTTCAGAAAAATCAAGTAAATAATTAAATAAAATCGTTTGACTATATAATATTGTATTATTATCATTGTTATGGGATATGGACACTGCGACCGTCGGGTCTATTGTGCCCCCTTCTGGGTTTAGAGTAAGTCTGTAAGCCCTGTTGGGTCAATAAAAAGTAGTATAGAGTAGTATATATACTTTACAGAGTTTTATTGCCTCTACCGTAAAAATATACATTCCCAGGAGCCTATTTTGTATGTGCATTAGCTTGCGCTAAGCATTCTAACAGCAAATGTGTTTCCGACTCCTCATTCTCTTTACAGAAGCTACAGTTTGCGTTCGTATGTATACCCAGTCTTGTAAGGTGGTGTTTTGGTCTACAGTGCCCCGTTAGGATTCCTGTGATGATTCTAAGTTTTTCTTTTGATAGGTTCATACAATCCTGCTATCACTTATTGTTATAGGTACCAGTAAGCGATTTGGATTGTTTTAACTCTGGTATATTATCCCAGTAATCCTTTTTAATCCAGTTCTCCTTTATTTTTATGAGAGAAAGAAGCGTACTATGTCCTAGTCTACAAAAAGATTCCGGCTCCATCATCGGTGTAGCTGCTCCTTTCCTGGCTAGTTTGTCCGCGTATATAATATAGTATCCATATCAAATAACTGCCGATTATATCTCAAATAAATTTAAAAAAACCAGCTAAACAAATAGTTGTTAGTAAATAATTCATGTATCATAGATATATCTACTCAAATGGTACTAAAATGTCGGTAAAGACTAAATTTTTTATTAAAACTAAATTTTTTCTCACTTGTGCTAATATTTTATTTGGGTACTATCATTGTTACCCTTACATTGTTTGAGACTTTCTTTGTATAAAAGATAGCCTTAAACGATGTCTTCAGAAGAACAGCCAAAGACTGTTTCTGGGGCAAGAAGCTCCGCTCTGCCCTGTTATAGACTTAGCCTTATTTTTCTTCGTTTAACTGTTGATGGATTTTTAATTATTAATTGGGACCCCCTTATTATTTCTTTCAAAGACTTTATCAAAATATATACATAACTTATTTTATGTTGTTACTATCTGTTATTTTTATAAAACGCCATTTATATCGAATATAATAACTCACTAACTATTATGAGTACCTCGCCTTTGCATCTTGGTTGTTTTTTTTCTAAAGTTGCTTCTTTCTTTATGCCTATCTTATGTATTAATAATGTAAATAAAATAATTAAGTAAAATTAATAAAATAAAATAAATAGATAAAAATTAATATTAAAATATTAATTAATAATTATATATACTTATTTCTGTATAGTAAATGATTATTTTCATTCCTAAATCTACATTAGGAATATAGGATTAGGTGGTCCATTTATTATATTGAATAAAAAATATAATTTTTTAAAATTCTTAAACTAAGAGACAAAAATATTGAAAAACAATAGGAGTCCATTTAAATTTAAAATACGATCTTCGTTAGCGGAAACTATATATGTGTTTAAATTGGCAAAACGAATACTACAACGTATAAATGTGAACCTATGAAATTTTTATCCTTCCACAATTAAAGGTTTTCTTGACCATTACAACAAATTATAGTTTCTGCAATAATGACTTTTAGCTGTAAAACATTAAAATCCGAAAGTACGAAAGGGTGCCAATTTCGTATATATGGATGAAAAATTAAGTGTAGAGCATTATCTCTAGTTCATTATTTTTTGTTGAGTGTTTTTTGTGATAGTCTAATCGCCATTATTGATTCTCTAATCGAAATGAATGGTTACCCATGACTTCAAGCATCTTCCCCGTATATATTCATATTAATCTTGAATATTAATTAATATTTATATTAATCTTGATTTTAAAAACACTAAGGGCCTTATTGTTTTTTTTAATCATTGGATAAATAATGAAGTTTATAAGACTGCACTTTCGGTCAATTTTTAAGTATTTACTGCGAAGTTGGTTTAGCCATTTGTCTTCAACTGCGGGTTGGATCTCATTTTACCGCTAAATAAGAATGAAACGTTCCTTTTGACCAATACTAGCGTCAGTTTCAGTTTCAGTTATTTCAGTCTCGTTGCAACCTGCTCAAGTTAGAGACACGAGGTCTCTATTAAATATATAGCGCTATCACGCTGTTATCCATCACGAACAAATTTTTTCTTCTCAGTTGTCGAGATACGTTGTCACTTCTTCGAAAGTTATACAAGTTTGAAATTCACGGCAGTGCAATTGGTCTCTACAATATTTCTTCGTGTTTAGTTTTAAAACCATTAATTTTGATTTTTTTTAACTGACAATTATTATAAATTTGTTGTTTTAATCAATATAATTGTCACCCAAAATTTGTTTATAGAATAGGTAAGACGTACTGAAGACCACAATGGAAAACTTGAACTAGCTTTAAAGGAATAATTAAAGAAAATTATTATATTACCACACGTGACGGTGACATTATGAATCCCTTTAACTAATGTATAAGAAAAACAGGCAGAGAAAACAGTTAATAGATTTAAATTTAACCAACTGAATTCATTTAAGACAGAATATGTATTGGGAACAATATTTAAAGACGAAATTGGAAATTAAGAAGATTAGTAGTTAACTGAAGTTAACTATAGACTAATTTCTAGTTTTTTGGTAGGAAAGTGTAAATATTTTATAGAATTATATAATTTTTTTTTTATTCCAATGTGCTTTAACATTTTTCTAGCAGTAGTGTGATGAATTTACAATCTTGCGGTCTCCCACTATCTTGGTGGAGCGTATACCTTTTCTATTAATCAATTCCAAACTTTTTTTAATGAATCGTTTAATTTGTTCGGCTGAGAAAACAAAAGTTTCCTTTAAAACGAAATATATAATATGACTTTTTATCATCTATTTCAAGTTTTAAACTACGTTGATTTTTATGTATTACTCGATTGTTTCTTGTATTTATTACTGTTGTATTTATGCTATTCGTTTCTCGTTCCCTGTGTAAATCCATCCCAAAATGACGTAAATTACAAACGATAATCCGAAGCAGAAAATGATTTTCCGTACGATCTTCTGAAATTCATTTGTCGAGATTTCACCTTGCTCAGCGTTTTAATATCTGGCCATATGTTGTTGTTTCGAAGTTTATATGAATCAACGTCTGTACCTTATTTTAAACAGCTTCAACTAACCACCCGAATTTACTGCATCTTTAAATTCAAAATTGCGTTTAAGGAACTTGCAAAATTATTTTGACATTGGCGTTCTATCAACAAATACCGTAACCTTTCTTTACAGTGAAAAAATAAAATAATGATTTCTATTCTCCATATTTGATAAGACAATAAACAAATATTATTGCGCCAGTTTAAAACCTAACAAAGCTTATTATAATAAATAAAATATAAATAGGGCAATGTCCCTTATCTGTAAAGTTAGGTGCAAAAAAATATATTTATATCCTCTATAAGAAAAAAAAAATAAAACTATGTTTCGACTAAACTAATATATTTAAATATATTTTGATAATTATTTAATGAGTTTAAGGAATTTTAGTTTTTAAAATGATGTCCACATTATTAAGACCAGAACCAATCTGTATTACTAAGTTGTTTAATAAGTTCATAGAGCGGGATCTAGGTATTTATCAATAGTAGAACTACAACTTCAAAGTTATTTTAATGTTACATCTATCATAAGATATTAGAAAAAATTTTTAATAGTAAATAATTACTAAAGTGGTAAAATTTTGAACTAAAATTAATATTGCAATTGGAAAAGACCCATTTTATTGACAAATAAAAATCATTTTGCGTAAATACAAAGCGGTTGCTCATAAAGCTAAAAAAATCAGTGCATGAAAGTATAAACTGTTACAAGAACCACCCTTTTTCGCCAGATTTAGCTCCCTTTTACTCTTACCTTAAACATTTCTTTAGTAAATAAAGATTTTCATCAAACGAAAAGATTATAATTGTCGTTGAAGCGTGTATTACAGACTCCACAGTTAATATATACATTAAAGTTGTAAAAAGTACCTGAAGGTGATCATCGAATATTATCGAAATAATTAAACTTGTCAATAAATTTAAATAAGGTTTCTATTTCATTTTAAATAAAAATAACATTGACGTAATAGCTCTTTAAAAACATTATAATTAAAATAATTTTTAGTCAGTAAAATGAACGAATTTTTAAAAAAATTCATTTAATAGAGAA